TCTGTGTCCGATGTCATTACAGAGCCAAGCGGACCAGAAGGGGCATCGAGAGCAGGTTGCTGGCGTGTCGTGATCCTGCACGTATGCTTGTCACCACATCCGCATGTGCGGCGATTTATATGAGAGCACATCCAGAATAACACTTGTCGTTCCCTGATTTCGCTCCCATGTTGGTCCAGCGCATTTACCACGCGGCCCATTGAGGTGGCTGTACCACTAACCTTAACACCTGTCCTCAAGCTTACCCTGTGTTTGCTTTATCACGAATAGATAATCGTGTTGTTTGTCCTAAATGTCACTGTGCATGGTAGACCAGTGTCGCAGTTGTTTATAGATAAGTGCTGCTTTCAGAGATTGTAAAAAATGTCAAACAAAATTATATGGGGAGTTTTTCTTTTATTTCGCAAATGTATGTCTTGTCTGCGTACCAACTGCTTTTACCGCTTAAAATCGTTCGATGCCCACGGGTCTTCTTATTATTTACTGAAATAAATCGGCATATAGTTGCTTGGTTACTTAAAAGCTTTGTTATTATGCACTTTTGACGCTTTATCGTTAGTCGATCATGATGTTTCTGTGGGCACAGCTTTAAGTTCGTCTAATCCCCTTTACATATGGTCAAATAGTTGATGTTATCGCGGTGTATTAACAAGTGAATATCATCCTACATGCAATTTCAAACAAAGGTTAATGCCCTATACATAGCTAAAATGTAGTTATGTATGCTCTTTATTAATTTTAGTCTTCTTTCGTCTTATCAATAGCTCTGGACGATGAAATCACCATCCATCCAGGCGATAAAATAACACAGATTCATCAATTTGACAAAAAGTGGCTTTGGGGGACGAACCCGAGTGGAAAAGCTGGACGCTTTCCGAAGTCCTATGTGGAAATTTTTGAGGATGATGCAAAGAACTTGTAAACAAGGCCAACTCTTCAATAAACGACCTTGGAGTCAGCCTTATTTGAGTTCATTTGGCGTATTCGCCATTGCAAACGCGCCACTTGCCAGATTCATTTTTTACGATAAAGAATATACCGTATATCAGTACGCTATGATAATTCCTTTATGCAATTACTCGAATGGTTTATGCTTTTGAATAGTATTGCTTGAATTATCCTCAAATTAGGGTTCGTTGAGTTTCTAGTTACTGAAACGAAAAAGAAAAATAATTGAAGACTTTTATTGTCGATTTTTTCAGCGATAGCATGAATAAATTTTCCTGTAACCGAGTCTCGAACACTGCAAGAACACGTTGGCTCAGGCGATGCCTTTTGTGCTAGCTGACATTTTAGTAAGCAGTATTGCCAAGACACTTGCAAGTTTAAATAACGCTGGTGACAAACTTTAACTGTGATATCATCGAGCTACCCATGTAATCAATCTCCTGCTATAATGAGCGAAGCAAGTATCCGGGCTCATGGACCGCAAAGTCACACTCGAAATATTATTTGAACTTCTTCTTACTGACATTGACGACTAGTTATCATTGTCCAGCTATTACTTCAGGGAAGGAAGTTTTCAGAAGTTATTTCAAAATCTCAGTGAATGTCAGTCTAAAACGTTCGAAATTTAGATTAAAATGTTCTCAGTCACAACGGAGAAGTGCTATGGTACTGCTTCGCTAATAAAGCACTTGAATTTGTGTTTATCCAGCCCAAGACCTATCTCGGTATATTTGAGCAAATTCCTTTCTGTTCACCGGATTCGCCAGTTAGCTTAATATTTGGTTAATTCAATGTTCATGTTGAAACCTTGATTCTCAAAACAAGCTCAGGAGAATTTTGAAAAGGCAAGTCGGCAAACATATGTTTCGCTTATTCGTAATCCAGCCTATACAATAACGTAGACAACTAAAATATGAGAAGTTCACAGGTCTTATCAGTTTTGGGGTTGAGACTCTTCATTCCCACGTGTTCTGCGTGATGAGATCGGCCTGTTGCGGTCATTAGGAAGCAGGCCGGGGAGGTAGGGCAGGATGTGAACAATGTACTGGGAGTGAATAATAGTCCTCGTGGTGTGGGGCGATGTGCGATCACCATCTGTAATCACCGACGACCACGAAAGAGATAGTGCATGTAGTAGCATCTTCCGATAGCACAGCACAGGGCTCTTTGCTCTTACACCAACAGCTGTCAACAGCCTCGTTTCGGGCTCATCAGAACAAGCCAAAACCTCAGCATTCCGTAATACAAAACGGGTGGTGATAGGGGTTAAATGGGTGGGGCATATCATGGGAAAGAAGAAATAATTTTGAAAAAATAGGCGGTGCAAAAGTATAAAATGATCCAAATAATTGCTTAGATAACGTTATGTTTGGCGCGTTATAATTAAATTGAGAAATTCAATCAATAGGAAACAAGAACTGTCCGATGATACCCACGAGTTGAATATATCATATATTGATTCTATATCGAATTTTAGAAGTTAAACTAATTCATGAGTTAAAGGCCTTTTCCCCGCTTTTTAAAAGCTCACAATAGCTTTCAATGCATTTAGACCAATACTGTTGTACGAATAGCCAAAGAAGATTAGAACTAAAATAAACGAAAACTAAACTAACTAGAAATAAACTAAGTTAAAAGATAACGTAAACTCAAAATAATAAAACTAAATAGTAAATTCAGTGGACCTGTTTCACGCTAAGGAGTGCAAGCCCACTGTCAACCCAAGGAATTCGTTCTGAGAGTTTTTCTGCGTTTTCACAAAATACCGAACTAAGGCCTGTGGCTATTCTTTGAGAACGAAACAAGACATCTGCTAAAAACAGGGCGGATATCTCATTTTATTAATCTTGAGGGTTGAAAATATGCGGAACGGAAATGATTGAAGCTTTTATTACTCAATGTTTTCCAATCAAAACCAAATGCCGGAACGAAACATTCAGAAGTGAGACTACCTACCTATGAGAAAAGAACTTCCAGAGATATCATACGAAAGGGAACTGTATGAAGAGTACCTTTGAGTCGGTACTGAAAAGGATTGTTTGTGAATTGTCACCTCAGAAGAAGGGTGACTGCAAACTGTCCGAAGTGGGTAAACTCAAACTTCCAGGCCTCCTTAAAAAAGAAATTACTTTTGCAGGCGTTACCTCTTAAATGGCTCCCATAGGCAAATACGGGATTATAGACAGTAACGCGATAAGCGTAAATGCGAGGCTGTTAAGCTGCAAAGGAAGTACAATCTGAATATAATATACAACTCATTGGAAAACCCTAAAATACTTTATGCTTACATGAACCTATCGCTACCCTAAGATAACGCCAGGTGTGTGCGTGATGCCCTCTGTCTGTCACGTGCAAGGTGAATCTTAGACACTTATTCGGAAATATCCGCGATCCTGAGATGCACAGATAAAGAACTAGTAGATCGCTCTTCCGACAGCCTCCTCAATTTCTTTAGTCTTTGCAAAAGAAAGTGAGGGACGATAGATTCCGAAGCGTAGGATTTGGCAACTTTTGGCTGGCACAAATCCTAGGCTTTCATTAGAAACGACCGGCAGGAAGTCAGAAAGACTTGCACTGTTGTTCGTGGAGCAGCTACTCTGCCAATCCAAAAAGTAAGAAAGTTAATTAAGCTAATATCTGCGAGGTCATACGCATGATAGGTAAGAACGACGCTAGCCCTTTTCGCAAAGAGAAGAGGAAAGTAACCGTAAATTAATATATTTTCGCTTTGGAAGAGGCCCTGCTTAAAATATACGAAGAAACGAGCAATGCCGTTTGTAAAAATCAAATCTAAATATGACTGTCTGTTGTTGGGGAATGGACCAGCTGCGACCATTTAGAAAAATTAATGTTATCTAGGAAAGGCTGAAACCTATGTGGACAAAAGTTTGAAAACCAGTCGATTTCGGGAAAGTTAAAATCTACAGCATTAATGTTAACTTCGAAAGGGAACTCCGAAATCAGTTTAAATATTTCACAAAGATTTGCATCACCTTCAAAGGATGAGTTAGGAGGATTATATATGCATCCGAGAATCGTCTTTTGCCCCCTGCCAGCACAATCCCCGTTTAGCCT